TATTTTATATATATATATATATATATATATATATATATATATATATATATATATATATATATATATATTTATATATTTTTTTTTTTTTTTTTTTTTTTTTTTATTGTTTTAGGATTAAAGTCACATTTTCCACTTTTTCCAGTGGGGTTTTCCCTTTGAATTAAATTCATTTTCCTCGTCAGTGGCGAATATTTTCCTTCTTTTAAGCTTAAACTCACTTCATTTTGGTACATTTGTCAGAAAACTAGACTGATTATGTCATATTGCTTCTCAAGTAAATGTAAGCCTGTTTAGATATTTGTACTGGAAAACAAGACAAAAATACAGAGTAAGAAAATCATTTCACAGTTAATAGTGAAGCTCATATAGACTCTTTGACTGACAGAGATGGTTCACTCACAAAAAGAGTACAGGACTCTTCAGAGACGCGGTAGATGAGCTCTGCATGTTGGATGACGCGATCCAGAAGTTTCTCTTGAGAGATTGAAGTGCATTGGATGAGTGATCCGGTCTCGTCTTTGCAGTCCAGAGGAACGGCATGAGAAAGCCAGACTGGCCACAGAGACACACACCACAGCCAGGCCTGCAGAACTGAGGACACACACACACACACGTGACCAGAGAAACACACCATAACTGAGAGACTCACTTCAGAGATTCACTTTGGCCAAGAAACAGCTGAACTGTTAAGGTAATATCCTTAGAAATATTTTTGCTCTCTGTAGAGATCACATATTTAATAAGCGAGCACTGTTTTCATTACAACGCTAATGCATTTCTCTTGGGCTTAAGCTCTAGGCAGATTTCCTTGCAAAGAGCATATCAAAATCTGGAGTCAATGTACCTTTAACCCTGTTCATTTTGCACAGATTTGTCTATGATCAGTTGCCTGCATTCGAGACAAACGCACTGGCTTTATATAGCAGTGATTGTTGAATATTCTCAGAGATCCATAGATTCATGAACTCACCTGCTCAAGTGCAAGAAGAGCCGTGGCCTTCTCCTCAGACTCCTGCATATGCAGGCCTTTAACCTGAGACGTCGTGACAGATACCTCTGAGAATACGAGAATGCCAATATATGCATGAGTACAGTTAATAATAATGCCACCAAAAATAATGCAGGTTTTATTAATGAATGGGAAGTTGCTAAAAATATAGCAGCCCAAGATGGAAGACATTTATTTATAGTTGAGCTTCAGTCAAGTTGCCCAGTCAGGCAACCTCCACACAGCTTTTTTTCCCCTGGCTTTGCCATCACAGAAATAAACAAAATAAATGATATTTTAAAATATATTAAAACAGAAAATATATTGATAATTAATTAGAATTTTTAAAGTGTAATATTTCACAATATAACCATTTAACTGTGTGCAGGATAAAATACATGAGTGTTCACTAGTGACAAGCAGTGCATTTATTCAGTCGCAGAACGACTGAGAACGGGAGACGTTTCAGACGTGCGCTCCCCTTCACTTCAGCGCTAGGCGTGAGTCAAGCGAGCGCGGAAATGGTACTGTGCTCACAGCGTGTGCTCTTCAATTGCACGCACGAAGGCGCCGGCGCACGCTGTAGCCTGTATCCTTTCATATCCAGGGCCTTATTTACGCATAGGCATTCTAGGCACGTGCCTATGCTTGCTCGTCCAGGGTGGGCCCAAACACAATGAAGATATATATAATATTTTTGTTATACTATGGGATATCTACATCAGTAAAAGAACCAAAACCCAAGAAGACATTGAGCAAATAAATATAACAAACAATAGGGTAAAAATTACAAACTAGTTCCACGTCTTCAACCTTTTGTATGTACGGAAATCACATATATATGCCCTTTTAAAATGTTAGTTTGTTATACAAAAGCTAATATGCATATACTACTGCTAATATGTCTACATGGTACATATGTCATATATGTTAGGTTTTTATATATTTTATTTATTTGTTTGTTTGTTTGTTTCAATAAACCATTGATGTAACGAAAAATATCACAATAAAATACATTTTAAATATATTAAAATATAATATGTAAAATGGAACATGTTACTGTATAATTTAAAATGTAATAGTATTTCACAATGACTAAATAAATGAGTGTGAGTGAGGATAAGATACATAAAAAAAACGTTAAAAAAAGTTACCATATGTGTAATATGTGTTATGTTTTATACAGAGTATTCTTCTTTTTCAATTTCAATATATAAACATAAAACAACTTTATCTGTATATAACTCAAAAGTTATTGATGAACAGCAGCTCTGCAATAAACTAAATGTGTTGCAACAACTACAACATGAATGAAATGTTACTGTAAATACTGTATTTCTGCTGTCAAACTAATTGAAAAGAAAGAAGGTTATGTTAGTGTAGCTGTTTCTATATGAGATTCTGTCCGAGGTCACCTACACAAGCGCAGATAATTACACCCCAGCATTTCTTTGTGTGTGTGTTTTGAGTCTCTTATGAATTTATTTTATGTTTTGTTGTATAAACTAGTGGTTCTTTTGCATCCTATTATCTTTCATGATTTATTTTATTTATTTATTGGACATTTTATTTAATTAAGACTTCTTCAAAGCATGTTTTTTTCTTGCCGTAGGGAGGAAGGCGATGGTGTGTCTGTGTTGATGAGATGAGGTGATTTGTCTCTGAGTTCTTCAAAGATCTGCTGCTCCGTGTAGCTATAGGCTGCCAGCCAAAGCAATCTCTCTCTGAGCGTAATCCACATCAGGATACTGAAATAATGCCATCGCAGGTGGGCGGCGGACTTCATTAAGTTCTGAATATTGCAATTCTCTTCATATTATGATGTGTCCTACATATTTGAGTCCCCAAACCACACAAATGTGGCTTAATCCAATTTGAACATTAAAGCGATGGATTGGGTCTGTAAAATTCAGAATTAAGCCCACTTTGTTCGGCTGATTCGCATTACAGCGCAAACCAACAGACATTGTATTACAGCTCAATTGCTGTGCTCGTCTATTTATGTTAAGCACAGCGCCCACTCTATAATAAGTTTGAAATATGCTGCATTTCAGGGAATAGTCAGAATGTTCCAGAAAAAAATATTTGGAAACAAACTACTTTATATGTTATTATTTGCAAAACTTGTGCTGGGCTTCACTAAATTGACTTTAAATGAGCTAAATTAATGGAAAACCCAATTCTTAATAGCAATCCCCCTACACCCCCAATATAATATATGGATATATATTAAATATCCATGTATGAAATACATGGTCTTATGAAGTAAACCTTATTTAAATATATATATATATATATACATGTATATATATATATATATATATAAGGTCGAAGTTAATTTCAAGGTCATAAAATATGCAATAATCAATAGACCAACATATTTTATTGATATCCATTTTCTGTACATTTATTTGACAATCTCCCTTGCTGTTTTCTTTCAGAAAATAATTTCAGAAAATAATCATATTTATAAAATCAGTTCACGCTGTGATCAAGTTTTGCCACATATTTATTTCCACTGTAAGACCTCTTTGAAAATGAATAAAGCAAAGTAAAAAAATAAAAAATAAAAATCATGCAAATCAAAAAATACTAATGCAATCAAGTGGAGCAAACTGTGCAATTATTTTATTAGCTTCAGCTATTATCTCCCAAAAAAACAATCAATAAAATATACAACAATAATTACAAGGTCAAACTGCCCCACACTCACTATATTCAAAGAAAGATTTCAAGCAAAAAATAAGTGCAACGTCAAGACCCCTAGGTGGGCTCCAAACACAGAAGCAGAGCTAATGACCCAGAGCCACATCGACACCGAAGAGGTTCAGCACACAAAATCATTCATGTGACAGAAAAAAAGATAAATCAATCAATACATACAGTACATACATACTACATCCACATTACTTTGTGGAAACAAACTCATAAAAAAAATAAAAAAATGAAACCATGAAATAAAGTTAAAGCCAAACTGGACAGAATTTGTAGGAGGACTAGCCAAGATAAAAAGGTTCACTAGGTGGCCCCAAACTGCTCAAGCACCGTCTAAATATGTTGCAGATGCCACGCTCTCTTTCAATGCACTAAAGCACAGCAATAATACTGGAATATGACTTTTGGCCAAACAGAGCTTTTCTCCTCTCCAGATCAGTAGAGAAACGATACATTCACACTCCTTTCTGAGTAACTGGAGCATTCATAATGCAGCACTGCAAACTATGGTGGAGACTATACAAGTACAACATACTTTTCAGTGTATTACACGTACAAATCAATTGCTGAGAGAGAGAGAGATGTTGTTTATATAGCAAACACTGACTTTTACCATGGTAACTTCAGCCTAAAATATGTTAACAAACCAGGTAAGGATGGCTGACCACATTAATTCTCAAATATTAGCAGATTTTATCTTTCAGAAACAACACTGATATAACTACATATACATACTACATATACATGTCGATGTATTTTATAACTATTGTAAATAAATGCATTTATTGTCTACGCAATTCTGTCTCTTTAACTCAATGTATTCCAATTGCCCGCTATGAACTTCCTGGAACTATTTGAGGTCTACGTGAATCACGTTACGGATCAAGCGTTTCAAACTTGCGTTGTCGAAACTCTCTCTCTCTACGGCTCTGTCTTGAGCGTCAAAAAGCGACACCAAGGGGTCCTGACCAAGCGTAAGTTGGGAGTGAGACATGTTGCCCAAAGACTGCCAGTGTGAATGTGTTACACTTGAGTGGGTGAGAAGGAGGTTATCAAATCAGCCTTTTTAAGCACTCCCAACAGATAAAGTCTGGCCCAGGCTAATTCATATTAAGGAACGGGCAGCATGCCCTCTCCAGATGTGAAGAGTGCAAAGAGACTCAAGTGCTGAGCCACTTTAACCCAGAAGAGAGCCGCAATTTCAGAACACACATGAATATTTATTATTCCCCGACGTTCATGGCCAATTACCGCACAGCTTCCTCTCCTTCCTCCCTATGTTTGATTGACACGCTAACTAATCAATCTGGGTGCTATCAACTTTATAATTAAGCTTCATTGGGGGTTGAATGTGGTGTTATGAGTGGGTATGCGTGTGTGCGTGTTGATAGTAATTTTTAAGCACAGCCCTCCAAAAAATATATGAATAAATAAAAAATAAAGAGGCATGACCTTAAAAGGAATATTACAAGAGTCTCACAAGAGTCAAACATGGGATAAACAAACATAATATACAATTTCAAAGCAATTTCTTATTTCAAATGATGCCAAAAAAATAAATAAACTAAGCAGTTTTGCTCCTAAAATAATGTCAAATTTCTTTTAACCCATTTTGCTGAGGTTTGTAGTGAGGAAACACTCCGGCTCGGCCTAGCAAATGGTTTCTGTATTTTATGGTTGTCTCACCTCTTATGTGAAAGCCGGCATCATATGATCCAGTATTTCAGTGCTTGCTGAATGTTGTGATTGACTTTTCAGTGTATTACACGTACAAATCAATTGCTGAGAGAGAGAGAGATGTTGTTTATATAGCAAACACTGACTTTTACCATGGTAACTTCAGCCTAAAATATGTTAACAAACCAGGTAAGGATGGCTGACCACATTA